ACACAGGCAGCCGATTTCATGCTATCAACTAGCAGAGCATGTCGGACCGTCTGCCCCTACGGCTCTGACCTGACATGTACTGTTGGGAGCGTGTGAAGTAGCAACTACGTACACGCTCCTACTAATTATTATCATCGGTGCGCCGTCTGCCACCAACACCGTTGAACCTGCCTTACGGAGATGTACTACGCAAATGAGTCTTGTCAACAAAGTTTTCATACGACATCGCGCGCGCTCTTTTGTTTGTGACGGTAGAGATCGGGTCACAAACTGTGCTAAGGAGTCTTTTGCTCTTGTTATTCACACGCACTCCGCGGAACATTTTATTCCTTCATCAAATGCTCTTGTTGTGGCATCTGCGTTAGAGGTTCTTGTCGGGTCCACGGTGATTTAAGTCAGGCAGGCTGTAGAACTAGTAAACCAGTCATTGCAGCCTTCCAATAATCGCATTTCATTTATTCGAAATATAGCTGAGTCAACCTTTTCTCCTCTTCCAGAATAACTCGTTTAGCAAGTGTGCTCATTATGTCTGCATGCATTTTCAAAATGCTTCAATTTACTAACTCGTTTACTTCTGCGCAAACACAGCCTGATTTATTTGAATATATCATTTAAACTGCTGCTAAGTAACGTATTAGACCTAGCAGTACCATCCTTGGTTTCCTTGAGTCTGTCTTGACCCCTACTGAAGGTGAATGAGGGTAAATAGTGCGGTAGTACCAGCGCAAAAGAATACTGTCATTTAAGACTAGGTTACGCGGTGTTCTGGCCTGCATTGGACAACGCGGCCTACGCCCTAGCCCGTTCTGTCATCTTGACTCTGTCTTTTTACCGGTTTAAAGGGGTGAGGGTTTAGAGTTAGGTGGACTGCTGTGCGTTAATTTCACTTAAATCTTGTCTCTAACTCCAGCTCCTTGTTCCTGAGCACATGGTGGACTTAATCGAAATCGATGGTCGAATTATCATCATATACCTACCTGTAGTCGCGTCACTTGTGTGCTCTATACCGCTGCCCGACGACACATTCCCACTGGACTTATGCGGGCTACGGATTTAACCGAAAAAGACAGGCATTTGGCAAAATATAATAAACGCTTCTTCTTATCTTCCCACTCACCCTTCCTCACTAGGACGGTAGCGTAAAGTTGTGGAGTCTGGACCACGAGGAACCCCTGGCGGACATGGAGGGCCACGGTCCCAATCGCGTCTCCCGGCTGGCTTTCCATCCGTCTGGCCGTTTCCTCGGCACCACCTGCTTTGATCATTCCTGGCGCCTCTGGGATTTGGAGGTGTGCGAGGAGGTGCTCCACCAGGAAGGCCACTCCAAGGCTGTCTATGATATTGCCTTCCATCCGGACGGCTCTCTGGCGCTGACTGCGGGTCTGGACAGTTTTGGACGAGTTTGGGACCTGCGGACTGGTCGCTGTGTCATGTTTCTTGAGGGCCATTTGGAGGAGATGCTGGGTGTGGACATTGCGGCCAATGGCTATCACGCAGCGACCTGCAGTGCTGACAACTGCGTCCGCATCTGGGATCTCAGACAACAGCAGACCATCTACGTTATTCCGG